CCCCAAAACCCCAAAACCCCAAAACCCCAAAACCCCAATTTTTTCATGGAATATTGAATATATATTGGTTATTTAGATTTTAATTCAATCATTCTCTCTTCCTGGCCATCTTTGAACAAAGGATTTTTTTCTTCTTCGCTATTGTGTTGGGCTATTAATGCTCGTAGAGCTGCTCTTCTCTCTTTATATCTCCTTCGCTTGGAACATGGGCATCAGCAACAACAAGTGTTGAGGTATCAAGAGGAAAAGTTTACTTGGAAATTGTAAATTCAAAATCTGAATTTGCCACAGCACTTGTTCTTAAATTTTGACATGAAAGTTTTTTCGATAGATTTCTTTGCCAGGAGAGTAGCGCAATTAGGAATTGCTAAATCGTTTAGAACGAGGAAACCCCTCCACTTGCTGTAGTATACTGCTGCAACTTGATCTACTGCATAACTCATTTTTGTTAATTTCCCACCATAAGCGATAGCAAGAAGATTTTTTTTGACAGTATAGGAAGTTTCTCGAATTGCAGGGACATTCTTAACTTCCTGCATTCAAGAAAGACAAGCATCCCCGTATCAGAAGATATTATCATATGTCTTAGGATGGCCAATTTCTTGTTGTGTGGGATCCTGGTTGGTCACCTGAAAGTATTGATTTACAAATATCCTTCCTCTTTGGTCTACTCAGTCTTTAAAGTTAAAGTTCATAAATGGAGTGTAATAGTCCATTCCTGCACACATTAGTGAAAAATTATGATCTTCTGATTGATTATTTTCAGGAGAAAAATACTGATTAAGGTGTCTAAACTTATCATACAAATATTACAAATCTTTGAAAGTTCTCTTTCCTGTAAAATAGTCAGAAGCTCTCCTTGAAAGTCCTTCTGGGAATCCATGAAGAAGTCGGTCTTGGTTAGTGATCATGTTATATTCCTTCTCATCGCCATATTTATTTATGATTTCTCCGAGGGACTCTACTCCTGTAGATCCTCCTCCAACTACAAGAATTTCCTTGGCAGAGTCAATCCTATCGTGATATTTCTTGATAAGCCTGGTACGCTCTTTTATTGAGAAAATGGTTGCTGCATCTTTTGCTGATTTCTCATTGATCTTGTAAACTGATCCAGTGCAAATAACTATTTTTCAGGATGAGAAAACTTACTTAGTAAATCAAATTGGCAAGTTTCCTCTTCGATATCCTGTAGACCTTGGTCTGAGTCTAGTCCTTCGGTTGGTTTGTACTTTAACGAGTGATCATCAGCTATCTCTGTGACCATTCCTTGAAGATACTCTACGTTTGGACCAAAGACTCGGTCAACAGAGATGCATTGCTTTAGGTCAACAGTCGCCTCATTTTCAAAGTAATCTAAGTCAACCATAGAATGAGGTAAAGATCAGATCCATTCAAAATGATCTTTCTTCTCGATAAGAGTGATATCAAAGTCCTCTTTTACTTTGTCTAGGATAAGTAATCCCGCGAAGCTTCCGCCGATTATTACTAGTTTCTTCCTCTGTGGTTGTGAGTTTCCCATTTAAATCTTTCCTTTTTTAATATTCCAATAATTACGTAATAAAAGGGGTTTTGGGGTTTTGGGGTTTTGGGG